GCAACGCACGAAAGGTCTTCACAAACCCAAATAAATCGACAATTCGACAGAGGAAAACAAACACGGCTGCTGCTAGAAGTTATAGCAGATAGTTTTCGCGGCATAAGGACAAGGAGACAAGACATGTAAGGACACCGCAAGACCAACGGACAGACAAGCTAGCGAGCCGAAAATCGAAGTAGAAAGCGAAGAGGCAAGAAGGCACACACATAGGGCTGCAAGGGTGCGAGATAAGAGCGCAGTCCGCTATGATGCGCAATATGGACACACAGTTGAGCGTAGTGTGACGAAACCATTCTAACGGCCATGGTAAGTATTACAGATTAAACACCAACAACGAATACATTCTCAATGGAGGGACTCTAGGTCTAACGTGCCGTCGCTCTGTGGGGCAGTTTCTTGTTGTATATATCATGAACAATCTAAACGTGCCTGCTGGGCTTGGCTATGGGGGATGGTGTACTGCAGCACGCCGTCCGTAGTACTTGTTTTGAATAGCAAACCGACGGAGAGGCTCAAACACAGCAACGCGCTGAACACAATGAACTGAATCGCAGGCATCAAACAGCAATACACACCCCATATTCCTCAACCCTCAACCCTGAACCCTAAACCCCACACCCCAAGCCCTAGAAAATCGTCGCATTGTACCTTGAGAGGATGGTGGTAAACGATAACAGCATATCGCCCAAATGCATCGGCAACCTTTTCTAACATGGCATCTCGCGTTTCTGCTGCACAGCGGCAGCAGTCCCAGGGTGTCCAGTCAACTTGTGCGTAGTGGTCGGTCGTGTCGCTGAAGCTCCCATTTTCACGTATAAATGACCTCCGCGAGTCGTGCGCAACCTTTCCATTTCCCTCTCCAGGCAAAGAGCGGGCCTCGAGTCCCCCTAGGGACCCGCCGAGAGGAGCTACTGTCGGATGCAACAACACAGCGGAATCCAGCCGCTGGCGCTGCCGCCCCATTTTGCCGTAGATCTGCAGCTTTGCAGGTTTGATTTGTCCATGTGAAGACCATTACATTACAAAACTCTCTGTAGAAGCCACAGGCTCGAAGGAGGGGAGACCTTCGCGCCTCGTGTTGCCTCGGGTTCGTTCAATGGATAGCAGTCCCACTCACCCCCCTACTGAACAGGACGCCAGCAGGGGCATCGAACGGCAACAAGAACGGAGCAACACAAATCTGTCAGTATATATCATGATTCAATCTGAAGGACCCTCAGGCTTCGCTAATATCTAAAGCATGATGGTGCGCGCCTTGCATGCTGACCGGCACAGACCGGTGACCACTCAATGCAGAGAGGTGGTGGCATTCAAATGTCTTCGGGAATATTCACCACCATTTACGCAGCTAATCAAATGTAAAATGAGTCGTGTGCGGAATTTCAATGAAACAACGCCCATTCAGTCGTCTACGCTTCCAGGTGTTACCCCCTGGAATGTAGCTGCGAACGGGACCGGGTGACCTTTCGGTTTTCTCATCTGAACCAGTACTCCAATAGAAAGCTCTTTAGATGTGTTCATGCTTGAATGTTTTCAATTTGAGTCAATTACTAACTAAGCGTATTTTAATTCAATTTTTGCCCCGTTGAAGGGCGTCTTTGTGGCCTGCCTATGGTTACACCGCTGCACGGCCCAACGGCCCTGCACGCCCAGAAGTAAGAACTCCCAAATAGAAAAATCGGAAATTGGACCTAAACGTATTAATTCAACTAGGGCAAGCAAAGCTAAGCTAACTTTTTGCACCTTGCTGGATATTTTCCTCCGTGTTTCATCCGGACGGCGGCGGTATAGTGACCGCTGCATTAACACCTGTACCGGCGCGTTGCCAGTCTACTCGGCAGGAGGCCCCATGTGGGAATTCACGTCGCTAATTCTTCAGATTAATGTAAACGCAAAACGCAAAAAGTTTATTCATAAAACACACGCAGTCCTAGGATACTAGCAGATTGTTATCAACTGCGCTTTTCACACAAGTTCCAATAGGGCAGGCTGAAAAGGGTGAAAACCCTCCAGAAAGGACAAAAGCCGAAAACGTCCACGTTCTAGAATACACAAAACAGCTAAAATCGTATAGAATATCCCGTAACGCTGGGAATTAAGTACGAACAACTAGGCCTGACACCCTTCAGGAGATTTGTACGGTAGCCAGGGCACGTAGGGAATGGGAATGAAGGCCCGAGTGGTCAACAGAGATGACGAAACGTGTAAAATAATTTAATTGTCACGAATC